GCTAAAGGAAGTGATTCTGCACTCCCCAAAACTTCAGCCTTCATTTTATTTGGAAATGTAACAAGCTTTCGACATCCTTGGAGACAAATGTGGTTTAGATGTTCCAACTCATAAACGCTGGGTGGCAGATTCGTAAGATTTTCACAACTCCTTAGGTCTAAAAATTCAAGACTGATGAGACATGCAATCGACGCAGGCAATTCTTTGACGCCGCTACCAGATAGAAACAAGCAACGTAAGGAATCCATCTCTCCCCCAATTTCAGGGAAAGTCTCCAGTCTTCTGCAATCTTCAAGATTGAGAACTTCTAGAGATTTTGACTTGATTATTGGAAATAGTGTGAGGTTATGGCAACTCTCAAGCCTCAAGTCCACAAGCTTATCATGAAATCCAACAGAAGGATGAACCTCAACTAAACTTGTGCAGTAGTCTAGATTCAAGGACTGTAAGTTTGGAATTCCAGAGATATTTGGGGTTTTTGTTAGGAATTCACAGCTCTCAAAATTCATGGACTTCAAATTTTGCAAACGCTGTATAAGACAAAAATAGAAAAGAAAAAGAAGGATCAAACGATAAGGCATAAACAAGTTTAAGCCATAACTCCAAACACTCAATGAACTTTTGAAAATACGAAGGCATGAAAATAATTTAAATTACCTTGAATCCCTCCCCAAGTTGTGACAAGCGGCTACAAGGCATATAAAGTTCAACAAGTTTCCTTGGATTGAAAGTAGATGGTAAACTTTGTAGAGGACAATCAGGCCAATGAAGAAACCTCAACTCATTAGATAGATAATCCACGTGATCACCAGAAAATCGTGCATTCACATTGATGAAAAGTCGAAGGTTTTTCATCTTTGAGAAGCTGTCACCACTCAAGCATATGTCATCTGGTGTCGGAAACTTTGCTATGATGCCTTTAATATTGTTTGTTCCCTATTATCAAAAAGCAGTAGTGTTAACATACAAAGCTCTTTAGCAAATAAAAATGCAAGTGTACACACAGACTTACTGTTCCTTCTGTTAGAACACGATAAACATCCTCGTGAAACCACAATCTGCTACGTTCACCAGGCTCATTTCGCGACTCTTCATAAACTATTTCTCTACCCAATTCTTCAAGCAAGTCATGCATCCCAATTATGCCTTGTTCAATATCTATGAGGG